CAGCAAAGGGCTTGGATGGAAAATGTAAACACCACTATCACTTCCAAAAGACAGCAATTACCACCCTCTCCTTGGGAAATGTAGACAAGTACAGTTGCCAAGCAAAGACAAGACAGACAATATTGCCTTTACTACTGACAGATTATATCCATGTCACTTTAATATGGCCAACCAGCTGCTGTTGAATCTCATCAAATGTTTTCAAATGTGATGTCACAAGTGAAGAACTGAAAGGCTGCCTGCACAACAATTGCATTGACGTGCATTGATCTGGTAATGTGCTACCACTCAATCTGAAGTGATGACAGCTGACGAATATGATGTGACAGCAGTGTAAGATTAGAGAAATAGAGTCATATTATTTTATAAATAGTCATATCTGCCATATAACTTGAGAGTATCTTTACTGAGAAACTGTCTTCATAAAGTGATCATCATGATGACAAGTTGTTTCTTTCGATTTCTGGTATAAGGATTACATGTCTAAAGAGTCTCAAAACTTCCCTGATATGAGCTTGTGGGAAAAAGCTTACTAATATAAGACTCCATACTGCTGCATGTCTGTACATCTGTAACATAAAGCTAGGGTGCCAAATGTACTTTTATTTAGTTATTGTTGATATGTTTGAATATGCTGCTACTTTGCTGCAAAGTGGAATATCTCGTTAGACAGAAGTTTATCATGTTTTTTTTTCAATAAATGTTGACCTTCTGACTAGAAAAAAATACTCTTGAACCAAATTTAAAAATAATACGATGCAAATAACATTAGTGCAGCCTCATCGTTATCTGCAAATGTGTAGGAATACATGCTAAACATATATGTGCAACATTTGAATGTCAAAGCAATATATGAAGCTTTGAACTATAAGGTATCCTACCAACCATCAGCTTTGTAAAAACATCAAGTTCTTACGACCATAATTTAACTAAAGATGTTACCTAACAATGACTTGGAAATGAGTAATTGATTGTCAGTAGGACCCATTAATTAGAGGCTGCAGAGGGTCTACTGTGAAAGGCTGAGAGAGGGAGCTGATCCAGCATAGGATAAATAACCTGTTAGTAATATCAAAGCGCTGCCATATCTGGAGCTCCACTCTAATGTTTTTTCAATAGCCATCAATAGCCGGAGCGGATTATTTTCTCTGTGGTCTTGGTGTGGTCATATCATTTAGTGAGAAAAAGGATTTCTCCCAGATTAAAAGTCTTTCTTTAATGGCTTTTCCCTCTACTAGGTCATCTTGTGTGGCCTATCTAGCAATGGTCTCAAAGCCTTTTCACCTGTTTTGTGACTTTTGTCCTCTCTTATCTCCTTGACATATGAGGCAGGAATCCCTTGTGGCACAGTGTGATCCCCCCACAGCTGAGGAACACAGGAATATTTCAATGAGAAACCAGAGCCATTTGACAAGAGGGAAAAACTGGAGACAATTGAAAATCAGTCAGTTGAAAATGTCACCTTTTACCTGATGGAAAAGTATTTGTAGCATCAAAGATTACAGAAATATCATCAGGTCACGCACGATAAAGGACACTCTCATGTGTATTACTGATCTGAGGTTATTAATCTGTATACTTTGCCAACTGTGCCAAATAGTCCACTTTCACAGCAAAGTAACTAAATAAATAACCAACCAAGTAGATTTAAATAAATAAATGAATAAATCAGTAAGAGGATCTGGGCTGCATAATTCATTTGAGGAGAACACATCCGTAGACAGAGCAGTAGCACTGTTCTGCTTCCTCTAGGGCTTGCTGGAGTTTCATCATCTGTGCAGCACAGCTACAGTATGTCTAATAAGAACTAACACTGTGCAGCACATCTGTCAGACGTGTGCATTCTCCAAAGCAGGACACAAGAACTCCTTGGCACACTAGAGGCCCTCAGTTGATTAAAGCGGATTTCAAACGCTTTGCATTCACATTATTTGCATTCAGCAAAACGCATCAAAGAAAATATTTCATCGTTTATCAACATATATATTACAGTATGCGAGTGTGTATAGATAGACTTTATTTATAAGGCTAATGCAATCGTCCTAGAAACTCTCATTAAAACAAATCGCCGTCCATTCTGTATGAAGATATAGCAACATACAGTATGAGAATCAACATGGCATTTGTCGGTGACTTATACTTAGCATGGACTTATTTTATCCATACAGGTACATTTATACATCTAATAAGGCTTAATGGGGTGTTAGGCATGGATTAAAAACTCCAAGACCCACCTTGTAATGGGGGATTTCTTAAGGTGATTATTTATTAATCCACGGGAATTTACAGCCTTGCCCAGGAATGAACCCATGTCTATACTAAACCCACTCACAACTCTGTGCCAACAACTGAAGCGCAGAATGCTGGGGAGTTTTGGCACGACATGAATAAACCAAGCTTGCCGTGACGTTCCTGTGTATCTTGGGTATACGGAAGCAGTGTGCATTGACCGAGCGTAGGTTTTCAATCCTATTTTGAGCGTGGAAAATGACGTCATTTGGTACTTTTGCAATTCTTTTTGCTACCAAATCCTACATCCCTTGCACACAAGACTTTATTATACAGTTTCTCATTGGTATGTATTGATAGGTGTCAGGCAGGCGCTTCTCTGCACTGTATGAATAACGAATACTTGGTTTACAAATGACCACCGTGAAAACGCCACGGTTGTTCTCTTCACCATGCACGTTTTTCGCCTGATCGACCGTGTAGGACAGAGTCAGCCAACAATGACAACACACAGCTTAGCACATCATCACAGCACCTGATTAATATTTTAGCACACCACAGTTAGCAAGAGGGAAATATCTTTTTTTACTGGGGCTCCCAATATTCTTTTTTGAACTGCTGTAATGTGCCCCATAGTCTGACTCTTGGCCTGTCATTCTGTGTCAATGCCATCCATAAGAACCAAGCCTTTCATATTACTATTAATGGCAAATGTGGAAATACATTCCCATAAATTCCTAGACATGGGTCGGAGTGGCCCTTACTTCCACCCTGACAAACTGCATTAGCCATCCATCAAGGTAATAATATAAAATCAAGATGCTGTGAATGTTAGACATGGGGTCACAGAGGGGGCTGGGTGGCTGCCCTTGATATCCACTCTTGCATATGTTGCTTTGAGCTTCAGAGATGGATCAGTGCAGATGGCATCATTCCTCTTCTCCCGACCACAATGTCCTCCACATATCCTTGAAGTAGATCTAAATGGCTTAGAGTGGTTGTATTTCCCTCAACAATAAATTGAAGTGGACAGTGTGAGAGAAGGTCTTGGATCTAAGGCTTTGTGAAAGCTTTCCTCTCCCAGCTATTCTATGAAGGTTGCAGATTGGTCAGTCAGTGTCAAGATATGCTGCATCATTTGTGCATCCTCCATGGCTCTTTGTGAAATCAATAAGTTGCGAGCGTGGAAAAGAGTTGCTAATTGGGTGAGAGTCTCCTGCTGTATCAGCTGGCCACTAGCTAGCCCCTGATAATGATACACGTCCACCGTCCTGAAATAGGCTGTGGAACTGCAGTAAGACACATTGGTTCAACAAGTGGGACGCCACATGTGACTCGTAGAGCTAAGAATAAGCGGAAACCTTAGCGCGTTAACAGTCACCATGAAGACAGCTAGTCATCAAAGACGGGGTATTAATAGATCAGAACGGTGTCTTCAGCATCAACAACAACAACAGCAGAATGTCTGAAATGGCCAGTTTAAAGCCCTGTGGCTCTTTGACCTACAGTATCTTCAAAGACACTATGAGAATGATGATGGTATAGGAAACCAAGAAGCAAAAACAGTGATTTTCTATTCGTCAAAACCAATTATGATTGAAGGATTCCTCATAAAACTGTGTTCCAGAAGAAAAGTGCACACAGTCATTTGATGCCTCTCTGACCCACGGTCCCTTTGATGCTGAATCCCTACTTAAGTCCGGTTAGGTACGTAATAACACCTCACCAATAAAGTAGAAAGACAACAGCAACTAAAGAACATCTGCACCAGCCTCTGAGCTCACTTGTTGACCGCAAATACTTTACAATTCTGTTACTTCATGCATTGTGGGAATGGATCACTTGAGAGATATTACAACCGATGACAGACAGGTCATAAATTGCTAATGTTATTGGAACAAGTTTGAATGTATTCGACACAGACGGGTGGAATTCTTGAGATACTTGTATCCAGATGTCTCGAGGTGCATCATCTCGTCTCTTGCTCAATGTGAAAAGAACATTTGCGTGACCTACTTATGGGTGTGCTTGCGTTCAACCTGCTATATATTTTATATTTTGCTCCAATGATTTCTTCCTGTTTTTTGACCTTCCAAGCAAGTCGGAAGGGCCTATTTCTAAACACAGTGACACGAGCGAAAGTATTGACACAAGACTCAATTAAGCTGGACACAAAAGGACGCTCTCTCCACCTGTCCTTTAACACTGCCTTTCAGCTGTGATGTCAAGGAACAACAACATTCCTACTGTCGTCAGGCCACCAAAGTGTCATAATGTTGACCTAACACAAATGTCAGAGCATCGAACATACATTTAAAGTACTTTTCAAATACAAGAATTTAGGAAACGTTCCCATAAATACTATTGTTATGTTAAAAAGCTATTTGTTGTAAAAGTATACTTTTACAAATCCAGACACTTATCCAGTCAGGCGGGACACGTTAATAAATGTGGTGCAATGTTTCAGTTGATCCAGGCATTGACATTGACTGGCCTTTGTATAAACTGAATACTGTCCACTATAGTCACCCGGGGGGACTGTACCATGTGTGCTGCCAGTCATACTGTGAGTGTGTATGACCCCTTGACCATGAAACCCATTCATTAATTGTCTTACAACAAACCCACACCTCCTCTTCCTTCCTTGCCACGGATCATCTTCGCCTCCCCCCCAAAAAATAACAACAGCCACTCAGCTGCTGCTTGGCCTTTCACCAGACGGGTCCTCTCAGTCACGCCACACAACTGGTGGACTGTTCCTGTTTACTCACCCTTTTGCCCTCTTTTCCTGGCTCCCCTGGGACCCCCGCCACACCCTGGGGAAAAGCATATGTATCTTAGTAAATCAGGTGCTACATTCATTTGGCAATGCAGGAAGAAATAACGGTTGGCTTCCTATAAAAACGGATGCAGACAGATGTTTATGCCACATGTTTTCAACAGACCATTGGATAACCAGTGGGCTTATTTGCAGTGATAGGGAATGCAGCATTAGCTTAGTTAAGTTAGCATGAGAAGATATAAATGAGTGTGTGTACAGCTGCAGTTTCCATCTTTGCTCATGAACAATTTCTGGGTGACTTCTCCAGGATCCCCTTAATAGGCCATTTTCAGCCTCAGTTGATCAGAGCTTCATTCCATTATTCTACACAGTATATAAGGAACAATTAGGAAGTCAATAAAGCTGCGTACTGAGTGGTGATTTTGTTTTAAAATGATTGCACAAAGATATACTTATGGGGCTTCAATAATAGCTAGATGGACCTTAATAGTTGTACTTGATTGCTCAAGAATATGCTATGTAGACATTGTGCAATGAGAAGAACAGATGACAGTAAGATTCTGAAAGGTGTTACCTGTTCTCCTTTGTCACCTGGGAGGCCCTAGATGTGGCAAATAAAGAGTCATGATTACAATAAAACAAACTCAAGAATACATAATGTTTAGATGTCTCTTTTGTGAAAACAATATTCATTTATTTAAGTACCTGATCTCCTTTGAAACAGTCTTTGTCAGCCTAGGAATCAAGCAAAGAATCAAACATAAGAAAACATTCATCCTGTATGGTTTTACCAATACATGTTTGGCAGTTTTATAGGCAACAGAATACAGTTGGTAAAGAGGTAATTATCTCTAGCTGGATGACCAAAACAGAAGTCAGAGCATAGCTATTACAACCCCCCAGACACCCTGCTGACCACTGTCAGGAAAGGGCAGACAGAGTCGTCTGTCCACCAGGCGACAAAATGGTTACAAGGCCACATACAACATCTCATCTTTCAAATACAAGCCAAATAATTGGTGTCTTCTTTCAATTGGCATCCAAAAGTCAAACGCCGTTGACTTTTCTTGGAAACAGCTGCAGAAATGGACATTCAGAACATATGTCTTTCAAGTTAGTCGAAGGCCTCATGCAAAGAACAAACAATAGGAAAATAATTTAACAAGGAGGCTGACAGCCAGGAGATATTTGCAGCCAAATCTATAAAACAAGAGTGACAGCTCTGACCTGTGACACCGTTAATAAAACATGACTTAGTCTGTGCAGGGCTTCTGATAATACATCAATTATTCATATACAATAGTACATATTTTGTTGGATTGCGAGCACAGAGTTTCGACCTTGGGTAACAAGCAATACAATGCAAATCCACCCCGCAGATAGTATACACTACTTTAATAACTTGCTCAATATTTTCAGCTTACACTCACCCACCAATTTACTGGTATGATTTGAAAAAGTTTTGCTGAAACCGTATCTGCTTCAGAGGGAGAGATTGTTATTTTGCTCGTCCTTGTAGATGTAAAAAATTAGCATTGGAGAAAAAGCTAATGTGGTTGGTGGGGTACTGTGGGTACAGTGTATAGGCACTTTGGTGACATAAAAGGGGCAAGCCAGCAGCAGTGGGACACAGTATTTCTGTCACTCCAGAGCTGATTAAAACTGTAAGGCTGATCCCCTCATGATGTGTACATAATTATCTAACCACCCCGTAGTATACCTTTAATCTCCAACAGCCGTCAACTCCCTGGATCCGGTGCATTGAGAGTATGTGGGTTTGCATCCATGCCCACACATTCCCTATGTGTGTTGATAAGTGACAATGTGAGCATCTGCTAGTACATATATCTGCTGCCTGCTGACATATGTAGCTTCAATTTGAATGAGCACAATTCTGGGTTCTCTGTCCTCTAGATATTACAAAACCATACAGGAAGCCGGTCCAATCATAAGATCGAAATACATAAAGTGTGTTGTCGTTCTCCCCAGGTTTCTGTAAATGCTACAAGTTTGCAGTGAAAGACCCAATAGGTGCATTTCTCACCCATGTGGGATACAGCTACCTGTCAACCTCCCCCCCTACGCGGAGGCCGGGTGCTCGATTCCTCTGCGCCTGGCCGCTCATCCCTGTCCTTTTTGGCCCAAGTGACGATGCCCACCGAGCCCTGTCTATCTGCTTCTTGTTTGACCCATTCCCAGGTGATGGTAATGTGACGCAGACACTGCTCACCTGAGTGCCTCACTTCCCATCACTGTGGGCCAGATGTTTTAACACTGCTTGTAGCACCAACTCGGCAAAAAAAGGCTGTGAAATGTCATCACAGATAGCATAATGAGATGTAAATGTAACACAGTGAACTTACAGGCAGCCCTGCAGCTCCAGGCAGACCGATATCACCCTGTGAAGGAAGATACTAATTAATAACTCCTTAAACTTCAGTCAATAACATCTTTAACATTCTGCAGTGCAGTGGAAACGGCTACGGCTAAATCTATTCAATATATTTTTGACTTTTAAAAGATTTATCCTAAAGGCCAGCCATCATGTTTGTGATAAAAAACTGAAGGTCAGGCTTTTTATGATGCATAGCAGAAATATGTCAAGATATGCACTATGTGCGATAGAAGGCCATTAACTGGTATTTACAGTATGTCTTGAAATGAATGTCTTATGACTTTCAAACTGTCAGAAAACTGGCAGGTGGGCTGCTTCTATTAAATGTGACAGGCTTTAAAATAAACACAGCCATACTATTTCATGTAAAAGCCTTGCAGTATTAACAATGGACAGGTATGATAACATTGTTTGGTGACTGTGACATACGGGCAGCCACGAAAAGTCATATAAGGAAAGAGGTTGAAGTCTTTTGACGCCAGAATAACACAATGTAAGCAATGATCTCACACGCTTTTCACTGCTTCCCCAATGTTTTTGTCTTTGCAGATAAAAACTCATGTGTCACTGTCCAATAATCCTTGCATTTATCTCCCCCTTTCACCACAAACACAACAGGACTTTATAAATGACTGAGCTGAGGATCTGTCGACTTCGAATCTGGCAATACCCGTTTATCAGATGAGGATGAAAGAAAAAAGCCTTTTTGTTGTTCATATCCATTTTGTTGTCAAAATGAATGTCACAGCTAAAATATGCTTGCTATGGGATATGCAGGGGACTCATTACTTTATGCTTCCAAATCTGCCTCCCTCTGTCAGTTTCAATACAAACACACGTTCTCTCCACCCCCAACCCCACCATCCCATCCGGAAAATGGGATAAAATACGCTGTGATACTCTGTTGTCTTCACAGAAACACACAGACCTCATTATAACTTCAAAGCTGGCAGACAGAGCATTGCACCTACAATTATGCAGTGAGTTCCAAAAGACAACAACAAACAAACAAAAAACAATAAGGGAGGAAAATAAAAGAGCGGGAGATATCAACTAATTACAGGAAAAACATTTCATCTCATACATGAAAAGTAATCCCACAGTGGGAAGAAAAGAAAGAAAAACTTTAAAAAAGACCAATATGTTCTGCATTGCAACCAGAGTTTATCTGATTCAGTGATGTCGGTGAACAGACTATAAAGGAGCTGCAGATAAGAACAAGGTTGGGAATCAAACTTCTCTACTGCACTTCCAGCTTGTCTTACATCCCAGGCGTATGCATGTAGGCACTGTATAGGACATATAAGTGGATTTCTACAGTGTTTGTGATCAATTGACAAATATATTCTAAATCAAGTATGTGAGCAGTCCCTAAATAAGAAGGGAATAGTGTGCCATACCCATTTTTGCTGCAGGCTTTAAAGAAATACTGTTTAGAGAGGGCAAGATAAAGGGATTTGTTGGCTATGTCCATTACAAACAGCTTCTCCTATGAATATACAAATACTCTGCAGTGGAACATTTTCTCTATGCCTGGATAAAAGCTACTCTATATGACCATCAATAAGGTCTTGCTAAGTTATGATAGCAATAACAGTATTCTTCAGCTGGCCATGTTTGGAGTAGCAATCATAGCAGCACTTCAAACAGATGGGCAAACCCCTTATTGAGGCGGGGATTACAGCTCATCAAAGTCAAGCAGATTCCCTGAAGTATCGATTGTTATTTTAAAAAGAAAAGCGAAAACAATGACGGTGTAATTTCGTCCGGGCCAGTCTGTAAATCAGACTCACTCACTTTGTCTCCTTTTGGACCAACCGGCCCTGGGTCACCTTTCAGAGCCTGGGAATAAAGAATATATCATATATTAAATTATATTTCTTTTTAGTGGGAGTTACGGATTAAAAGCTGGTTAAAAAACACCCACAATGTGTTACTGTATGTCAGTATGTTGACACTCATTATGTCATGCAGGTGTGAGATTCTCAGGCCCGACAAAACCGGTCAATAAGAGAAGAGCAGATAATGTCAATCATTAGACGCTGCATTTTCCAAAACAATCAGCTGATTATACAGTGTCTGCCTCTCAACCCCTTCTCTGTTTTTCAGCATCGCAAGGACTCTGATTGTCATTACTTTTACACCTTGAAGCAGAGGACTTGAGGGTGGAATTAAACCGCGCCTGGCCCGGGGCAAAGTCAAGCTCTCGGTAGAAATGTGAAAGAGGTGGTACAGCTGAGATAAAGAGTGATAGCTGATAAATTAAGCTTGACACACATTGACAGGCTACATTTGCAGCAAGCCTTGTTAGGTATGACATATTTGGGCCAGTAGCAGCAACTCTTTTAAATGGGTTGGGGGGAGGACAGGAGATATGTTGAGTGTGAGCGGTCTGCAAAATTATTCAGAAATACAATAATTTGTCATGGTTAAATATAGAGATAGAAAGGCTAAAAATAGTGAGCTATATATCTGTGGAAGACGATTACCTACCTTTAACACCTTTTGTCTGGCTCTAGCAGTGACTAATTCATCGCCTATTCCTTGTATTAAACACAACTATTCATACAGTACATAAGTAGTGCTAAAATAAATCGCTATAGAAACAACAGCTAATACAGATTCCTTATAAATTGCCCTTTAATGGCGTGGTTGTTGCCTTTAAAATGCACTAATGATGACATGGTTGTGACATTATTTTATCAGATTGCATCACTCTACCTCTGCCGGTTAGCCCACTCACACTGTCAATAATACGGGCATCTGTCTCAAAGCTGCACATGAGAGCACAATTCTTTATTTGAATCGACAGCTTAACTCCCTTACTGGGGCAATCTGACACAAGAGGATCCACAAGCAAATTCCCCTCTGAGTTATTACCAGAGTTGTGGCAGAAACCGAAGAGTACAAGGCTCATCTGATAACAAGGACGTAAACAACTTCAGGTTCAGTCGATAACAGAAGAGATTTTGATGAATCTTGCACGAGTTTCTAAAGAACTTTTTTGTAATGAGGAGATCTTGTCTCGGGAAAAGTGTCTTGTAATATAAATGTGTTGTTGTTGTGATCTGTTACAGTCATTGTGTGTTTTCCTCTGGTTAATTTGAGGAAGGGACCACAAGGCTGACGTTTGTTCCCATTCACAGCTTTGCGATCGTGAGTTAGGAGAGAATTCAAACGCTTCTAGTACACATTATTTACTTCACCGATGAACTGTGGAATTAAATACTTTCTAATGAACATGTTGTAAACATTTCACCACTGTGGGACGGAATAAAGGATTTCTGTTTCTAACCCTTCTGAGCACGATAAGGAGTTTGACTCAGTCCACGAAGCTGATAACAGGTATAAACATCTTTAAAATACAAACACAGGAAATAGATTATGGGAATTATGGGAATTTAAGCGTAAATTAAAGGGTTTGTTTTACATTTTAGCTACAGTAATTCCTACTTTACATGAAGCCTCATGACTATCTAATGTGCAATCTGTACACCCTAAAACAACATTGGGCCATCCCTATGCATGGTCTTCAGAATTGGCCTCTGACCATTGGAATATTTCCTTTAATTTGCAACATCTGACAATATTTCTCCCTTTTGTGTTTTACCAACCCCCCGAATCTACTTTTCTTTCTTTACTTATGCTGTTATTTGGACTATATATTCATATTATTTGAGGCCTGTAACCACTTTCATACATCTATCAATATGATCTCATCTGTGCATTCTCTGACACCCTGCCAGTTGCCCTTTTCCATAAGACATGTTGCTAGATGTTGTACCTATATGACTCTTATTTAAGTTCTGTTTTCTAAATAATGCTACTGTATGACTATGCTGGGTTTTGTTATAAATCATAAATATTTATGTTTATGCTGTATGTTTTTATTTAGCAAAAGCAACCTTCCCTCCCTGGCGTCCTCTTCGCAGACAGCAGACAATATGTCAACAGAAGAGTTGACAGGGAACTACCATAACTCAAACTGAATAATGCAACTGGAATTAACTTGTGCAGGTGGTGAAATATGTTTCCCATGGCACAAATGGTCCAAAAGTCACTCTCTCACTATAAAATATATTGAATGGTAGTCGCCCAGCCTGTATTAAAGTCTAGCTAAGCTTTGCATCTGCTTTGGCTTATCCGTGTGCCACAAACAAATAGTTTCTGCTGGTAAATATTTTAATTAGAACTGTCAAAAAACGCACTTTTAAATAAAATATGAAGAATTCAGCGAGTATGCCAAATGCTAACAATTCACTTTCTAAACTTGTGCAGAGTGATGCTCACTTTTCCCATGTGTGCTCTCGAATTTAGTATGACAAAAGATGCTCTGGTACTTTGATAAAAACTTGGCTCTACTGTGCGAATGTTCAGATCATTCCAAGACTGCAGTACTTCAGTAATAGGACCTGTGGAACTGTACAGCATCTGGACTTGTCTTTAGTAATGGGCTGTATATGAAAACAACCAGCAATTAAAAGTTAGCCAGCACTTGTTTTATTGGCTAAGGCTTTTGTCAGTCTTGAAAATGTTGCATTCAGTCTTACTCTGGGACACAAAATAAATATTCTTTGCTTTACTTTTCATACAGCGTCTTCTATACACACCATGCTTTCTGAGTATTTGCTTTAAATAGGTTAACTATTGTATATCTTTTTGTATTTAGCTCAAGGTAACAAACAACATCTTGTCAAATGATTCAATACAAATCATAGTTATAATTGTCAAAACGCTTTTATTAAATCATTTTTAGTAATCAATTTTGCTGTGGACTTTCTTATATGCTGTGGTTAGTTCTCATATAACAGAAAGATACTTCAAATCACTCAACTTTAGGAGAGCAAAAACTCCCAAATACTTTATTTAATAAATCTGATTTGTGACACGGTTTGTTCCAAAGCCCTGGGCTAAAATCTGCTAAATCTTTCTTGTTGTCACTGCCGCAAATATTGTACAAAGTTGTTCAGTCAAGCGTTACCTACCAATTTTATACACTTGACACTGTTGGGAAAGTTCTGCCAGAACACTCTCATCCTATTTCTCTCCTTTTTCTAAGTCTCCACCAACAGAGACTTTAAAACAGTTGTGTAAAGTTGATAAAGTTAAATATCGTGTTAGAAAATATACAACCTTTTTTGTATATGTATAAATCATTTGGAGTAGAATGTAGTAGAAGGAGACGTCAAATATCACAGTGTTTGCTACTGAAAACAATGACTTGATACTAGCATGCATGTTGCCATAATTAGCCGCAGGGATCATCTCGGATCCAATGTACGTTAAACAAATGTTGATTTGATTTCCAAAACTATACCTTTTATATACCAAGGGATGAGATAACCCTAATGCGCCCTGTATTTCCATTTCCTGCTACTGCGCAATGTGTACTCCACTACAATTCAAAGACAGATACCGTACTTTTTACTTAATAGTAACTACAGCAGTATAAGACTGCTGCAGTTACTATTAAGATTCAGATTCAGATTAACAATCAAATTAAATATAATTATTTTTATTTTTTACTGAAGTGGGCCAGCGCATATTGAGTACTTTTACTTTGATCGCAGGACTTTTACTTGTACCAGACTATTTATCTGATATTACCTACCTACATTTTTGTTTACTGTGACTGCCTTAAAGTCAAGAAGAAAGGATTCCTTAAATTGAAACGTATACATATAGCTGTTAGAAAAGCTATAACGGACGTGTGGATCTTAGCAAAGCAGTTTAAATCGTCCCACCTTACCTCAACTAACATCAAATTATGCAATTATAATGTATTTTGATGATTGTCAAAAAAATCCCATCTCTGTGAGAGAAAACATAAATAACCCTTCAGGGAAAACGGATTCCTTTCCTTTTTTTAATCGTCCTATCTTCCACACCAAAACCTAGTTACGGTGCTGCCCTCTGTCTAATGGACTCAGCCTTGAGCCCACAGGCTTAATTCCAGAGCACAGTGTCACAGAGGGAGATGTAGACAAGACGGTCCGGATGTATTGTTAGCTTTTTTGCTGTAAGCTGTGGGCTTTGTTGCATGTTCAGGGCAGTATGAAGGGGGGATGAAGGGGCTGGGAATGGGCCGGTGCTGGCTGTCGCTCCTGCAGCACGAGGTCAGGACACTGTGGGGAGCTGTGTACACTCGCCTGTTAATTACACACACCACTGTGTCTCCCCACTGCTGTAGCTGTGGGGCCACAAGACAATCTGGCAACTCCCCAGCACATGACAACTAAAGCAAGCAAGAAGCGGGGTTATACAAAGGCAGTTTAATTATGTTTACTTCTCCCTTTTACCTATCACAGCGGTTGCAGGTCACAGCCCTTGTCTGACTGAATAATTGCATGTTTGAGTTAATGTAAACACTTTAATCATCACACAATAGGTTCAGCCTCATAAAGAGAGGCTACATTATAACATAATTGTAGCTGCACTGTGTATCAGAACATTCTGGTGGGGAAATGTTGTAATAGTGAATGACAGGCTGTTAAAGCTCTATGGAACAGGATCTGTAAGTAACAGAGATATCTTGAGTGCCGGCCTACAAATGCCAAGGAGGTTACAGCAGGAAATGCCTTTTGTGACTTTCCATTTGCTCAGCGATACACCACCACATACAGTATAGGGATATAAGACTAATCATATTGAGTGCTAAAAGGTTAGCTTATTAGCATATCTATTCCACTCTATGATCAAATACAGTTTGACCTAAACAAAGGTCCATTAGCGAGGAGATCAGTGTTCACTGTCAGAGTGCAGAGGATATCCTGTTTTGACTTTTTCAACCACACTCTTCAACTGAACATGTATCCACAAATGTAACTGGGATTACCCACAAGATAACACAGTGTGCACTCCGTCTGTCCCACAGGACGTGTATCTGCAAAACGATACCAGATCACATGCTCATACATAGAATTCTGGCTTCTCAGGTGTCTACTCGCGCCGTAAATAACATACTTGCTTTAAAAATGGAATATGAGCTAATTGCAGTAAAGGGACAGATCGGTAATAGAGTCTCCCAGTGCATACAGTAGTGTGACTGAAATCAACAAGCTAATCTATTTGTGCAACATAACAGTTTACAATTTATTTGTTATTAAAAGATTTAATCATTTATTATAGTCTTACTAACTGCTTCTAGCTCCACCGTTTTCACCATCTAAATAACATTATGAGCATATGGGAACATTAAAAGTGACGGAGCAGTTTTCAATTCACTAGCAAAGCTTTTTCTTAAACTGAAACGACTCAGTCAACCACCACTTGGTGGCAGATACAGTGTACTCATATGAGGTAGTATTGATATAATGTATTATATATACAGGTATGACCACCCAATCCACATTTATAATATTAACATCTACAGTCTAGGTGCAGCAAAAAATGTCTTATGTACTTGTAAGTATTTTCGAACAGATTACTAAGCGACTAACTGGTTAAGAAGGGGCTGCTTTATTAAGTCGATGAGGCTCATCCCCTCACAGTCACTGGGGATACTGGTTTTAACCCATTAATCCTGTACTGCTCTATGCTCAATGATGATTCTTGGGGCTAGGTTACCTCATATATTGTAGTCCACTGTCCTGCCTTCTTATTAATCTAAATCAAATACAAGGGTTATGTCAGGATATCAAATAAATCACTGACTATAGCACAGCTGTGGAAAAGACTAATAATGAACATCCCATCACAGCTTGATTTATGCTGTAATTTCATGGGTAGGGAGACTGTGTTCAATCTTAGAATGTCTTAGTTTCCACTGAATTACTAGAAGGGTTCTTACATGGAACATGTAATCCATTGAATCAATTGTGATAAATGGCCAAATTGTGTGGAATTGTGGGTGGACATTTCTTCACTTGAAGGCAACTAGAATGAATATTTCTAGGTTTACAATGGAGCAAAGCCTAATTGTATGTGAAAGTAGTAGCTCAGGGAGACATAAATGCCTACTCTGATTTCCCATGAGCTCCACAGTGCATTTCAGAGTACATCAACTCATTGTTGTTTTTGTTGTTGTTTACTCCCCCTGCTCTCGTCAGCCTCTGTTAGAATCGTATTTTGCGATGAGGAGATATGTCAATTTAATCTCTGGGCCTCCAGTATGAAGACAGGTCCACACCACCCATTGCTCTTGTATGTTTTAAGCAATGGCTTGCTAGCTGACAATACGCAGCGGGTTTGAAGCACATCTTTTTTACTTTTGATTTAGCTAGACTGCCTGTCTTGTTGCTACGCGTTTGAACAAGCCCAGAGCCAAACATTATTATCCATAACTATTTGTCTGTAGTGCCGGACAAACACGCCTGCTAGAAGCAAAAATAAAAACACAATGTTTTACTTTTCTTTGTTCCAAATCACTCAATTGGGGTAACGTATTATACATCCCTGAAGGGCATGCATGGAGAGATATGTGAGTGTGACCATAGAAAACATAAATGCTCATTTGGGATGCAAAAAAGCTGCTATTCCCATATTTTCTAATCGTTGACTCAAGACTGACATATAGGAATTCAATTCTGGAGATACATTTTCAGACAAACTAACGCTATTGATGATGACACACACAAACACACACACATACAATGAGGGGGAGTAGACCCTGAGTCCAATGCTGCCAACTTAGCAACTCACTACACTCTTGAATCACTCTTTTATGACGTCATTGGTAACAAAGATATTTATACAACTTTGTGGCTGACTTTGATTTGTACATACACATAGTAGACCCCTGCCTTCTCAAAACGGCTGCACTGATATGCAAATCACAAAATGACATCAACTGGTGACAGCTACACAAAGTTTTGAGCAGCTGCTTTTCTTGGAAAGGAAAACAAGCTCCAGTCAAGTGGAGCAGGGTAAACCAGTGAGCGAAGAAAGAAGGGCTGCTCACCAGCTCTGTCACCCTTTCCTCTTGATTGCTGCAGCCCCAGTAGAAAAGACTGCATTATCCCATTCCTCCATTATACAAAACTAAAAGGCAACAAATCAGTCAGTCTTTGACGCGGATCGAGTTAATTTCCAGTTTTGCGGTCTCCCACCCCTTCAAATTTCTATGTAAATAAACTTGATCATGTCATTCATATGCAAATACAGCCATGACGTCAACTGGCTTTTCAGGCTGCCAATTGCTACTTACCTTGAAACAGTGAGAGTGAGCAACTCTGGTTGTTGGTTCACAACCAAAGCTTGTGTTTGTAACCTATTTGTACTTCTTTTTAATTCATCCTGAAATGTACTTGAATTATTGCACACTGACAATTACTGTTATCCAAGCTAGCTGTTTTGCAGGGAAACCTGATGGATTGAAAGCAAGCAGTACACAATCTATCCTGTCAGAGCTGCTCTTTTTCTATTTCAATTGAGTACATTAACAGTAGGTTGCTTTTCTTTTGTTTCAAGTAATCACCAGCAGCAGTATTAACACAACATAAAGCTTATTGTTGTTGCTCACTAAGATAGAGTCAGTACTTTAAATTCTGCTAATGTGTTTTTGTATATTGTTATATTCAACCAGAATATGTGTACTATGTGTAAGAACTCCATTTATATTCATACTGTATAGCAGCAGTCTGTGTACAAATACTCATTCTTTATCAACATGTTCTTTTATAACCTCTCTGTGCTTTTGTAACCATACTTTAGAGACATTTAAAACAAGCTACCTTGCGACATTTACAAAACAGTTTAGAATGACCAAGTACTTAAACTTCCAGTACCCTGTAGCTCAATGAGCTTTCAGCTTTATCTTTTTTATGTTTATTTCTGGTTTTCTTTTCCGATATTTCTCAGAATTACTGTTAGGGCAGTGTGCACGTCCACAGCCTGCTGGGAGGGTGATTTCTGTGGCAGCTGTTTGACTACTCAAGGGGGGGACAGTGATGAAAAGTAGTCCCTTTATTAAACCACTTTAACTGACCATCTGCACAGCTGCCATCAACTGAAAGTGTGCCATTGTGGGCAAACAAATGCAGTGCAACATAAACCACGCTTTGATTCAACCAACAGTTTTAGGAGGAATGTGCAGGCTAAATTCACCAAGTTCCAAAAATAAGTTATTCATTAAAGAAAAAGGACTAGGATTTACTGGCATTCTGGTTGTGGTTCACAAGACATACATTAGTTTCATCACTGCAGCCATGTTTAACAGCATGCCATAAAGTTTAACCTGAAATGACATTGGCTATGGTCATTTGAAAAATGAGTTTAGTCCATTAGTATGCCGAGCCAATGGTAGCATACATATCAATTAATTTCACTACAGAAGGACATTGCAGAGTCAAAAACACTTAGACGCCCTTCAGATATGACCGGCACCTGAAAACAGCCACAGAGGAAACAGTGCTTCGTTCCTCCCCTCGGGGCATCATACAGAAAATGAAAAGCCTATAAGAATTGATTCCCTGACGAAACTAGATCTGGCTGATGTGCTATGTATGGAATATATGTCTGCTGGAGATAGTAGTACTTACCTTCTCCCCATCGATTCCCTTTTGCCCTTCTGATCCAAGTTCCCCCTGCAATGACAAGATTGAAAGTTAAAAGGCAAAGAAAAGACCCTTGCAAAGTTTATACTTTAATCTTTCCCCCCGACTTTTACACCATGTAGGTCCAAATAATTATTGCGCTGTTCCATCAACAGAAAACATCTATAGATTCATTCTGAAGTAAGATCAAGGAGGAACATGGTGACTACAAAAAGCTTCTTATCCATAAAAAAAATAAAAATATATATATCCTTTATCTAATCTAAATAACAAATGAATTCCCAAAGATTTATACCAAAAGATATTAGCAATGTCAATATACAGAAATTCTGAAGTCCCTCCCATTACTAGTGAATTGTCTACAAATATTGTATTTAATAACAAGGTAAAAAAGACAACAGTAAAACAATACATCCAAATGTATTTAACAATGTTTATTTGCATATTGGTTTTGGCTAATGTATTATTGATCCCTCTTCAAGTACTAGCCAAAAAAAACATATTATTTTACGACTAACATATCCTGAAAACAATATCATTTTCCTCCCCCAAATACTAACTTTTACTGAATAGAGCAAGAATGCATTATAACTCAATGCAACCCTTGTTAGCTCCATTATTCAGCCAAGTGGGACTGTGCTACATACCGGCTGCTAAAAGCTAATGTTATTAGCCGTCTCCCTGCTAATTTCAACACAGTGTTGTTGTTCAAAATGTTCTATGAGGTAAACGGCACTCTGAGCGCCTGTATTATAGAAGAACTCATCATTGTCTTCAAAATGTTTGCATGGATTTAGTACAGAAGCATCTTGTGACATCCCTACATGTTACCATATCTCTTAACATATCCAATATCTATTTTTATGAAATCCCTACAAGCATTAAGGACTTTCAATTAAACATTTTGTCCTCATCAACATGCACATTTAAGATCTGAAGGCCTCCAAACTAAAAATCCAAGCAGGAAGGACTCTTTAGGGTTTATATTATATTTTCTACCATGTATTTCTCTTGAGTTATTGTGGGGAGAAGAATGTGTCCTCACCATGGTAACATTGTGTCCCACAGACACTGCCATGTGCCATGGTGGCATGACATAACAAATAGAAATCCTTTCTGAAACGCAACTATTCCTGTAAATCAAACTGTGCTGAAGAGGTTGAGATTATCCAGAACTTTTTGTCCTGTCCTCATTGGTGGAACAAAGTTAAATCCCCCCCCATTAAGGAACATTCAAACTGAGTTAAGCGGGAAGCCGCACGCTTGCACCACAGTGACACTGATACAAAAACACATTTGGGAAGCAGATACCCAATTCCCAGCGATACTGTTTCTTAGTGAGCTGCGTCATTTCAGCTCCAGCAAAGTCTACAGCATGCGTAAGATTATACGGGGAATAAGCTGTTTGAGGCTTATTCTCACAGATATAACATCTTAGAGGCTCTACAAATATCTTCCTGATCACTGATTCTTCTTAAGCTACCCAGCCCTTACTTTCCAAACACTCTGCCAGAAATGTATGAGATGTCTTGGAGCTTGTTGGCTCTGTTATTAAAGTGTAACCTATTGCTCGTTGCTCAAGCAAACTGCCATAATATAGTCCTGTGTCCAAGGGCAACCATATCATTGCTGTATCATATCGACAGCTGCATGAAATTGTTGTTCTCACAATGTGGCTAAAAAAAGAAGAAAGAGATACGAAAACGCGAGGAAACAGCTTCATTGAAAGATTGAGCTTTGGTTTAAAACATTTTAACATAATGAGTATTAGCACCTACTGAATATCAATGCTACTGGTGGTGCTTTTAATCTGGACTTTTTCTTGTGCAGCGTTGTGTAACGAAAGTGCTTTAGCTGGCTCCCAAACCTCATCTTAGAAAGCACAAGGAGAGAGAGCTGGCTGCAAGTGTCCCCCCACAGTGAGTTTAACATCTTCTATAGATATAGGGCCAGGATTAAGTGTCCTTCCACATCTAGGGAGAATCCTATTTTCTGTAGATGCACAGAGTGCTTCCACAATGATCTGCAGAACAATTGATCACTTGAATGCAATGCAATATCTTGTGGTTATTAATGTTTTCTTGCTATGTATTTCCTGCTCCTGCTGAGAGTAGAATCACAAGCCCAGAGGTGTTACAGGACATTTTCAGATATGGAACAATCACCCGCATACTGGCGGTGTGCAAAGCATTGCATCCTGGTGACTAAAGGAGATAAACACATGAATCCAAGATGCCACATTTGATGGTCAACAATTTGACTAATGACATAAAACGCAATAAGCAGGCAACAAAAAGTGATAATAGAATGTAATTTTACTAAGAGCATGTACAATTTGCCAATTTTCTCAGCTATTCAGGATTGTCACAGCACTGTCCAATTACAAAAAAAAGGCACTTAGCCACTCTTAAAAATTCCATTAAATGATGCACTTTTCTCCCAATTTAAATGTCAGACTCAACAGTAATGTCTGTCATATTGGCCCCCGCTTTTGGCTAGGGGAGGTTGGAGACAGTTCCCTTAAATACGCATTAAGTTATGCGAGCCATTTGTTTTCCACCTATCAGGGAAGAGCTTCACAGAGAGGGAGACATAGAGATCCACACAGTTCACAGCACCCGACCCTCTAGTAGAAGTTGCTACTACAGCGACAAGGACACAACCCCCCCCCCCCCCCCCCCACTGTCTTCCCACCCAGTATGCAGCCACCTGTGTGCAATGGGGCGCCCGGCCAATCTGCCGCTTGGGACTGAACTTGCGTCTCCGTAGCAGCACCATACGCACTGTGCCAACATGAACCCACTTGCTGGCTTAATTTGATTTTGAGATTGCTTTGGTTTCTGTGTTTCTGTGACTGGAGTCAACACAGAGCCAGCCAGTGATTCAATCCAATGATGTTAGAAAATAATCTCAGAGATGGCCACTGACATATTCCATAAATCACTAAATAAAAAACGTGCCAGATGCTATTCACTGCAAACAAAAAGCATGCAGTCAAAAGAGAAAATCTATTTGAAACTAAAGCTGAATGTATTCAGGCCAGGGGGAAAACAAAAAACCTGAAGCTACCAACTGAGTGTATGTAAATGGAAACTTTAATCACAGCTTTAAGGGAAAAGCCACACTAAGGGTTTTAAGTAGTTTCATCAGTCAGCAGCCTACCTCATGTCCTGGATCTCCTGAAAGCCCGGCCTCCCCTGTGTCCGCCTGTGACAAAAACAACACACAGCAGAGTTAGTGAAAGGTCTCTCGTTGACACATTAGTGAATAGCTTTATGACGGCTTGTCATTTCAGCAGCGATATCGCTCCTACAGCTGTTCCACAAGTTGATGCTGACACAGTGCTCAGCAGCTGCAGATCAGGATACTATTTCCCAACAACTGGAAAGCCCAAATGTAAAGCTTGTTAAAAAATCATTGTGTTATTTAAATAGTTATATTTGAAAAACAGGGCAAGAAAGTAAGAAAAGCTTGATTGTCTTAGGGTTATAACGTCATTCAGAAAAGGAAACTGATTGTCTACAATATTGTTAAGAGAGAGAAGATGGAGGTAGATGATTACTGGACAAATTAAGCTCACACATAACTTGCTGCAAGCTAAGAATCTAATTAAATGTGATGCCCATTCAGTCAAATCTTCATTAGAAGCCCTGTGTGTTAGAACTCAATAGGCGTGTTTAGGAAGAACAACAAAATGTGGCTAAACCAAACAACTCAGAAGCTCTCTTTAAACCACGGGTTACAGACCCATTATCCTAGAACAAATACATGCCAATTAAAAACTAGCTCTGCGAAAATGCCGTTCATTGACTAAATATTTAGCATGTGGCAAGATGTAAAACGTTCCATTCCTAGCAATTAGAAGATTATTTCATTTGTGTGAGACAGCTGCTGATGTCATTTATTATACAGATAAATCTCCTATAAAATGTAGTGGGTTATATGTGATTTACAGTGCTCACAATTCAGTCCTCTTGCATTTAGATGTGTTCTATTCAACCACTATCTCAAACCCCTGCTTTAGAAAGAGCTGAAGCTAATAACATTTTAACACTGATGCACACAAAAGAAACAATGGAGGCTTTTGACAGCTAATCGAAATACGGCGTCAGTGAAAAATAATAAAGTGCCTTGAATAGAATTCCTGGAATTACTCACTTTGGTACAATGGGGTGTAAATTGAATTAGAGGGCACTGATTGAAAACACAAGCCATAAGGGCAAGAGAGTTGTAAACGGTGCAAAACTATTTAAAAGGTATTGTAAAAGGGGAAGAAGTTTTAATTTCAACATTATGCCTGTGTGTTTTTTCCGTTAGCATGTACATGCAGGAGCTGTAAATCTAGTAATACCAGGTTTTATGTGCAAGGCCATAGAAAATGGATTTCCTTTCAAGTAAGCTGCATTCTTATAACCCAATCCTTATCTGTTTAATTTCCTGAGGGATTCTGGATTAATCATAGCACTTTAATCCCTCTGCACTGCACTACAATCCACCATCAAACTCCTGACTGTAATGTGGGATAGTACTTTCTGTTGGAGTAACACAAAGTAATCCCTGCTCATTTTCCTTAAAAAAATCCTCTGTATAGGTCATGCTGATTGGCCTGCATTTCTCATAATGGGTGTTTTTAAATGCTCTAAATTGCCCAGATGTCTTTGATTAATCTCTACAAAGTCAAGCTTAATTGTTAGAAGTATCCTCTGACTACTTTTTCATCTTTTTACAAAATGAGATTTGCATGTTGGTAATTGAAAGTCTCATGAGCTTACCTTATTAACAGCATTTGCTATGACTTTCTTAGCCCCTTTCAATGTAAATCTGAAAGACTGCAGCACCGTTTAAGAGTCACTGGAACTCCCTAGGAAATGTAAGGATCAATAAGAATGAAATATGCTTAATCAGAGGGCCACTGCGACTATCATTTACCAGACAGATTAATGTCAGAGGGTAAAAGAGAGAAAGCTATTACCACGTGCGATCTTGTCAAAGCATGACGTTCCTGATATACCGCCCAGATGGCTGGAAATAAACTCCTTTTCTACTGTTTTCTATAGTGGAACATGAACATCTGCAAATCCCACAAGACATGACAAACATTTCCACTCCATGATTAACCACGTTTTTTTTTTTTTGTGTGTTTTGTTTCATTTATTTGTTTGTTTTGTCTTTGTTTTTTATCCTGTCGGACTCGAATCACATTGCTGTCATCCTAATTTGTTTGCCAACTGCTATTGTGCTGTCTGTCTGGCTGTTTGTTTATTAAAAAAAAAAAAAAAAAGATAAAAAAAAAAAAAAAGAACCATGTTTGTGTTCTTCAACATGCTCAAGATGCTTACTTTTAGCATATACTTGTTTGACACCATATCATATCCAGCTATGCCTGCATTATTACATCAAATGTGTCTTAATGTATTATCATGTTGAACCAAGATGATTGATTTCTAGGTATTTATGATGAAATTGGTGTGTCACCATAACCATTAAACAGCTTATTCTGTGTGAACTCATTGTAACGCTGAATCGGGAAAATGATTAAAAGATAACCATGATGGCACGCCACTGTTATGCCTGTACATTTATTGATTTGACTCATCATTTCAACAAATGTCACAGCTCCTGAGATTTATTAAATCAACAACCTGCGATTACATGTGTTATTTCACCACACTGCGAAGGTCTTTAGCTCTCTTGTTGCAACAACAATTGATAACTCCATGCGAGGGAAAGGAGATGAGGGAGATGAACAAGGGGATTAGGAGGAAAGGAGGTTGAAATGAACAACACCTCTGATGTGGCAGGAACCCATCGGTAGTAGATTAGAGATTTGTCACATACGACAAAATAAATCTTAATTAAATATGAACCCTTTCTTTCATAATTCAGGTACAGATGGATACAGACGAAGAAAGATAATAACTTGACATTCAGCATATCAGACTTTAAGCCTTGTTGTCCCAAATGGAGCTGCTAGGATGCAAGAAAATGTCAGACAGTAAAGCGTCATCAACAATATCATCATATTACGAGCCTTATTCAGAATTAATGTTGATTTTAGTTACATTTCAGTTAATCATTTAGATGTATCAGCCTTCTGACAGACAAGTCAGATATACTTAAGCATGCCATTAATCCAAAGAACAACTTTTAAAATACATAAATAAAATATATCATAAATAAAATATGAGGACCTTTTTTGGAGTAAACACAACGATGAGGTGTTGTGAAGTGACATGTGCCAGTTAGAGTTGAATTAATGTGTAGTCCCTAATCAAGTTTTTCATTTAACTTTATTGATTTAGAGATCAAGTCTGTAATAGGATTTGTTATGAATTTCGTTGTTCAGTAAGTAAACAAGCGTTGCCAAGTATTGATTTGTTGAAGACCTGGAATTAGATTCCAGGTGTTAACAGTGTGAGCCACTGACTCATAGCAAAAGGCCTGCAGAAATAATGGAACAGCCGCCTGAAAATCATCTTTAAATCATTGTTTAGCACTGTAACACGACAGAGGTGTACTAAGGGTCTCTTTGGATGTGCTCTTAGGCTTCGCTTCAAAACTACCTCTGGGAATATATCACGTGAAATCTAAAGGAACTACCCACAGAAACCAGTAATTTCACTGAGCAGCAAGTCATTAATCACAAGAACCGCCAACACACACACAGTGCACACACACACAGACACATGGCAGCCGAAAGCTGATCCCTGCTAGGTCAATTAGTGTTCATTAGAGGCCAATTATAACGCATTTACACATTTGATTAGTACAAACTGTTGCTATACATATCGTTTGCAATATACACATCTTTATTCATAACTAGAAAAATTGAAGAAGTGCAGAATTGCCACCTAACCATATTTACTATCATATACAGTATATGATATACTATATGCATACAGTATATTATAAACCTATGTTATTGCTACAGTATTTTTGACCTTTTTTAAAGAACATTTAAATGATCCAAAATGTTGTACAGTATATTGTTTATATTCGATATACTATTTTTCATTTTCATTTTATTTTTAATTGTTAACTTTTTTCCACTTTTTAAGTATTGGTGTTGAGCACACTGGTCCTGTAAAAAAATGTTTTCCCAATTTGGGATTTATAAAGTATCTATCTATCTATTGATCTAAATTATTTGAAAACAAACCTAAAAAAGACTAAAGATCAGCTAAAAAGCTACAAGTGTTTAAAAGCTCCATATCCATTTATCCGGAACCAAATGACAATGATGATAACGCTCATTATTCCCAGTTACACGTGTCAGCTAAAGGCAAAACGTGAATTTATCTATAATTCTTGCTACATTCTACACAAATTAAGACAAAACAGCTATTTAACATGTCAAGCTAATCTGAAGTATTCAGGCCAGAGGCACCTGGTAAGTGCAGTCTGTAGGTGAAACAGCTTTAAACACAATGCCATTTTAACAGGAAGAACATTTCACCATGTTAATTACGCAGAAAATGCCCCAATTCAAAACTCCTCTGCTGAACTCCACAGGTATAATGATTTTACACTAATATAAATGTCGCATTTGTGCCTTCCAGGAATGAGTGGTTTTCCAGGAACAAAAGTCATCCTGCATATCTAAATCCCGCAGCCACATCATGGTAATTAAGACACTGACCCCAAGAGCCATCTGGCCTTATCTGCATACAGTAGCACCACCTGTTTATATGAATTCATTCATAGCCCAGCGCATTGTCCCGTTGTTCCTTGTGCCGACAGCAAAAAAGGGGATTTCTTACTCTCAACGGTGTGATTTGTCTAGGGAGAAACTGCACTTTTTGTCTGGGCATTTGGTCATTAATTTCTCCTTGTCCTCTAACCAACACAAACATATGTACAACACTTTGGCTCAACCAAAAATCGTTTATAAATGTGCTATATAAATAGAACTTCATTTGATTTGATTTGAACACCCTCAATGTTCAGTGACCGGGCATTGAGCTGTTACGGATGCTTCCCACTACCTATTTTTCTAGTGATTGGACAAATGTAGGGGAGCATTTCTGAAGGCCCGTGACAGCTGAACATGAACCTTTGTCAGACACTACAGCACGGAAATTTGCTTCCTGAGAGAAAGATGTATTCCTTTTCCTTTGATGATGAATTTCGGCCAAAGTATAAATTCCCCCCGCAGGGACTTGCTCTTTTCTTCACATTTAGACCTTGCAACTGTCCTGAAATACCAGACACAGAGAAAACCGGCAACAGACTATCATTTGAGAACAAAAGTATGGTTATTTACATCACGAGAAAAAGCACAGTGACCCAGTGATAATTCTCTCCGTGACTCAATTAATGCTTCTGAATTATGTATGAGTTACAGTAAATTGTGGACACAGCCTCCATACTTAAATCTACACTGCAGTGAACATATTGCACTTAGTCCCAGCATGTTTCCTTTAAATTATACAAAGAAAAAGGTACATTTGTATACAACAGCATGTAACAGCATAACAAAGTAGTCCTTTCCTTGTTTCTTTTAACCCCTTTATGTCTTGACAGTCCAACTACACCTGGAAGACTATCTCCCTGTGTTTATGATAAACAACAATAAGTATAATCAATGAGAAAATGGGTCTTGTGTTCTTAGATCTCTCTTTATCAAACAGGAATTGGATGGTGCTACATTTTGTAGGAGAACATAAATCACCACATACTTTAATCCTTGACAATAAAGCACATGTCTTAGTTTGTGGTGTATTGCTGTTGTTTTATGTGTTCTTTTTTATATCTGAAGCAAAAAAACTATAAAAAAGTTGATCACAAAGGAAGAAAAAATACAGTATTCAAAACCAATTAAGTCTTTTGATTTCTGAATAAATTGTTCTAGACCCAACAATAAATATTGTTTTAACTGGAAAAAAATATTATCCATCGGTAAAGTAATGTAGTCAAAGTGTTATTGAACTTTATCTAATATCTCAAATGCATTTCTGCATTATAACAAAATACTGTTCTTATCTAGACAGTTGATTCTAGGAAAAGCTGATTCTGTAATTTACAGACAAAATGTGAAAATTATAAAAGACTGTTTGTGGAATTGGACTTCACCTTGGAGCTTTACCATCTGCTCCCTTCCAAAGAGGGCTTGAAGCCGTAAGGTCTCAATTTGCATTTTAATCTAACATTCATTTTGGCAGTAGAAATAATATTTTTGCATTTCCACACATTTATAGCAGGTTCCAAATTGACAATGTATGAACAGTTTGGGAGCAGATTAACTGTGTATGCTAATAGATCGTGGCTATACTTCCTTTTTTGGATTTCAAAGAAGATATGTTCTGGTACAAATCTCCTTTAAATGGCAGTTAAATGCCAACATGCAGTGTAAATGAGTGCTGGTTCAGTAACTATAGGCATTACACGTACTCAATTAGAGACCCTTGTTGGCTGGAATTGATTGTACCTTTTCAGCTGGACAGTGACATCTGTCAATTGACTTTGCGGCGGGCAGAGACAGCATCTGGGGGAGCTTGGCTGCAACCGGGGGAGGGTCCGTCCCATTAAAGGTCTGGTTGGCTTCACTCTGGATCAATAAATAATTTTCACCATTTAAACACCTTCCTTTGTACTGTTTGCTACAGAACAAGGCGAAAAACCCTCCAAAATCCACAGTAAAACAGCCTTATCAATCCAAGGGAACCAGAGTTGTAGGTGGAATTCATTTACATCAAGCTGCTAAAAGCAATTATAAAAGTGAAATTCAAAAAGTACTAAGCAGACAAGCCGTGATAAGTCCTTGTCAAGGTTGTGTGAATTCCCTCAAAGTAACTTTACACTGACATGACAGCATGCTTACAGTATGTACCATTACTGTACATGTAATGGTAAGGGGTCAAAAGTCATCTCTCCATTTGGAATCCCTCTAACATTAGCTCTTATTGATTAGATGGTGGTGGAAGAGTTCTGTTATTACATGTCTTTCTCAGTAGTTTTCCTTTCATACACAAGACAAAAAATGTACACCTTCATTGGCTGATCACACTGCATAATAATAATAATAATAATAGGCAGTGTGATCAGCCAATGAAGGTGTACATTTTTAGCTTGTATTTAGCTTGTATGTTAACCTATATTATAGGTTAACATACAAGCTAGTGCCATCAATACAATTGGTAAATGTGCTTGAATAAGTCACCTACTAGAGTTCCATGTCTCACAAATTAATTATATATAATCTGTATTACTTGTTTATTACTCCTCATACTTCTTATTCTGTCAAATTAATAAAATAATCAGTCGGTATTATTAGTTTGGTGAAATATCATAGCGTTTTACCTTTGGCTCCTGTAGCTCACAGCAATTTTCCATCTCGGCCATATAAGGGTCACAGTAGATGAGAATTTGTCTCAGTTCAATCTGTGGGACAAAAAATCTCATCAAGTAACCATTACAGCATCATACAGTAGTGTCATCATCACATGCCTATATTTCGACCATGCGCTTAATGGGTTAACACATCACTATTTGTTCAACTACCAGCTGCTGTAAATTGAAAACTCCCTAACATTTCCCTTAACGTTTTTTTTTAAAAGGCTTCAACTTCTGCATGAATTGCAGCTGCTTCAGAGCAGAACTTGAACCCTGCCATTTTTTTCCAATGCACTGCTTTACATCTACTTAAATCACATGGCCCAAAAAGTCAGCTGTTAATGCTACTTAAGCCAAGTTCTACGTAGAGGCGCTGGGTGACCAAATGGCATAGCTGACCTCATGTTCTCTAGCACTTTAGGGCCATATCTGAGAATGTGCGCAACACAAATGACACAATAAAGGATTTACAGAGATTAAGAAGTCTCCCCTGAGGCATGTCTTAAATACCTTTGGAAATCATTGGTGATGCATTTTGAAAAACACTGAGGATAATTAACTATCAGTGGAGAGAAGTAATAAAACAACTGCATACAAATATGGTACATCCTTAAAAGACACTGTTGACAAGCTAAAATGCTTCACAGAGTTTGCGTGGGACATACGTCTATAGGTCGTCCATCCTCCACTCGGGTGGTGATGAGAGTGCGCCCACGGAAGTCAACACTGTCTTTCTCATCCGTCAGCCTCCTTTCTATTAGCTTGCAGTCCAAATAAATGGAGACTATGTTGCTCTGGACAGAAACGCCCAGCTTGTGCCACTGGCGATCAAAAAGGGCATGTAGGTCACGGCTCTTAAACGTGTAGCGGAGAGCGTTCTTTAGCTCGCCCCGGGAAAAAAACTCCACCGCCTTCTTGCCACCATCGACCACCACAGATACCTGAGGAGCACAGAAGAGTTTAAAAACAGGGTTCTTATTGCCAATAAACATGTATCCTGTCTCATCGGAGCGTATTTGTAGATACTGAAATGTATATGTGTCATTTAAAATACAGTGAGGCTCACCTGACTGTCTCCTGATTGGTCGAATATCTGCCATAGATACCAGCGATCTTTTTTTGTGGTTCTTCTTACACGGAAGATGGAGACAAGGGAGTATTCACTTGAAAGCCCATTTGGAAATATTTCTCTAAAAAACAAGAGATAACAAAGTCAGATTTTGACTGAATGTAAATATTAAAACAATATAAAAATAAAAGGTAACAGTGTAATTTCTTAATATCTAATGTGAGCCTTAAAGCTTTCAGGGGCTGAACAATGAACCAGCCAATCAATTTCAATGATCAATAAAACATTTCAATATCCTCCAGCTGCAGAGACCCTCACATAAATAAACCTGACAAACTTGATTCCACTTAGCTTGATGAATCGCATACAGGCTTCCCTTTCTCTCAGATAATGAAAACATGTTGAAATTGATCCAAACTCTAAGAACCCAATCTTTTACCTCACGGAGATATGGCGTGCTAAAGATATCGGGTTATAGATGCAACGCAGTTACAGGTTTATGTGTATGACCTCAGCTGCTCCGTAAAGTCAAATAACAATTCTGTATTCACAACCGAAAATGTGTTCCAGCAGAAGCAAACTATGCAGAGAAAAAAGAGGGAAAATATAGAAAGACAATATCATATTTCAAATCAGACACACTCTCAAATGAATTGTAGCTTATTTACTATCTCATCTCTCAGTCCACACCCCCATTTCCTTATTAATTGTATACATAGCATAAGAGAGAAAAAACACTGTACCCTTCAAAATACCCTAACCCTTGTCCTAACTCCAGATTCAGATTAACAGTCAAAAGTGGAAGAGCATAAACATAATAAATCAAGATCAGCAAAAATAATCATAATGCAATGATAAGGTCATTGAAAAGGCAGAGCACAGCCCGAGGGAGGAGGGAGAGAGTTTCTTCAGACAGGTTGGAAATTAGTTTTCACTCCAATATATCATATCCCATTCTCTCAGAGCTTCATACCCTCTCCTATTGTGTCCCCTGAATTCTTTGAGATTTCGGTGTAAACGGTACATGACTAAAATGATAAATACACAGTTAAATCTCCCGAAAAGAAATGCCTCTTTGAGAGCCCAAGGGCTGGGAAGGTTATTTGTTGCCTGAGGGCTAAAGGACTATTTCAGCTGCAAATCAATATGGAAAGTGGCAGGGCAATTTATAAAAATGAGGATTCATAAAATAAATTCAACACTGAATATTTCCATGCTGCTTGTAAATCAACTGCTTTTACTAAATGTGTAACACATTATTATGTAGAGAGTTTCCACAAGGCAAAGAGTAAAATAGAACTCCTAAAGTACTTGCCGCTTATGAACATAATACATTTAAGCATTTTTAATATAACATATAAAGTCTGCGAAATTACAATTCAGGGCTGTTTTCTGCTCAAGCTCTGGAGTTCACACGCTTCTTTACAAAGTTCCCAACTAAGTCTGCTCGTGTTTCAAAACACGGCCCGTCTACAGTGCGCCGCAGCACACTTGATCTCCGTGGGCCCAGGGGGTAAAGTTCATGACCTTGTGTTGACTACCATCTGTGGTTAAATGGCTAAACCGGAGCTCAGCGTGGGTTGGTTTCAACACAGTTTTTCTGACTCTTGGGAGAAACGCTACTCTGCATATTCAAAGACGTGATGAGTGAAGGGAAAGGATCATTTTGCATGCTCTCATGCTGCAACTTTCACTGTAAACGGCACCGTATTTTGCCAGCCCTGTCTCATAAAAGTTATATTAATATAACTAATGCACACTGGCATATTTTGGAGAGAAAAAAACCATAACATAACACAATTAGATTCAATAACGTTTTAATGCAAGTGAGAAGTTTCCATACTACAGAGTTGGATTGTACAACGTTGAGTAACCTGGTTCAAATTTCAAATAGTTGAAACAGCTCCAGCAGGAAGTACTGCAAAATAAGACATGTTGAGTGATAATTAGTGTGCATAACTACTCTGCATTGTAAAGTATTGCACAACTATAGCAACGATCAGGATTAGCACACAGATCACAGAATAACACGCTGTCTTCCACAAGAGTTACAATCAAATTGTATATTCGTATTCCATTTGAAAGGAGCTTTCTGGAAACCATCACTAGTCTTTGAAGACATCTTTGACCATGCATATTGCTTGGCTTGAACGACTCCTTGTATAATCAGGGACAAAAGTTTGACATAATGTCACAGCAACACTGCCGGTCTGGTAGAGAATCTCCCGGAAGCGACTTTAGTGTCCCGGCTCGTAAGAAATCCTATCTAGGAGGATTCTCCAAATTAGTCAGAGGAATCAGATGCTGTAGCCGAAACAATCAAATGTTTGCCTAGTTGGCTCACATCACTACCCCTGACACTCAATCCTCTGACAGATCAAAGTGGGTTCAACCATGACAGTTTATATGCTAAATGCATCATTCATGCTAGCAAGGTCTATCCTCTCAGCAGGACTTCTCTTTCCTGTTTAAATGTGGAAATGCTTGCCAGCAGGATAGAAGGCTGCCACTGATGAAGCCAAATCAAATGCATGCCTGTGATCTGATAGAAGAATATCTTACCAATGGAGAGACATGTTATTACCGAGTGTGCATGTGTGAAGCTTAGACTGCTATGTTATCATCCTTCCAGGGTAAATAGCTGTTCTTCTGAGAGTAAACAAGCCACCAATAGCAGAACAACATCTTGAAATGTCATCTGCCACCATGAGTGCACGCCGTAGTCATTTGTTAACTCCAATCAACATGGAATTGTTTTTTTTAAATGGACAATTGTTCCTGGTTGAAAATCTCCCCAATAACACAACTGTTGCTATGACTATCAAACAAGTTTTCACAGTGGCTGACCCCGTCTCCAGCCACTGCTAACACCCCGCAGGCTCATGGTTCACTCTCCAGAACATTCCATTTCCATCTCTTCCTGGCCTGATTGTCACTGTTGCTTCATGACTTTGCTTTCCTGCGTCTTCAACCTGAACCCTTTTAGCTTCTACTGCTGTTAACCTGGGGATTGTCAGCTACTTCCGTTTTGCCTTTAAGCCTTTGTATGATTATTTTAGCATTAAAATCACTCAAGTCTGCAGGTTTCTATTCGAGCCATTTTCCTTGCTGCCTTGTTCCCACCCCGGGACACAAATCCCTGGACGTGAAATTGACAGTAAATACTGGTCAGTTAAATCCCTTCAAGCCGCTAACACATGTAAAACCACGGGATAAAACGTCATATAGTCAACGTATATGGTTTCAAAATATATTTCTGACCAGGATATTAAAGAATATAGACAAGCACTCAGCGCCGTCACTGGCCAACTTGAGGCCCCACGCAAAGTTATATGATGAGGCCCTCTGTTTCGCGAGCGTCGTCGTCGTCGACGGGGGGGGTGCTAGTGGAACTTGGCAGCGGAGAAAACGTGCCACGCCACACTAATTGCGCTGCACAGGCGCATAGGTGCGCCACATTTGCGGCTCCGTTGAGGCTCCCTCAACAAGATGAGGACACGTCCGTGAGGTGGGGCCCCCTCCGCAAGGTGAGGCCCCACGCTGTCTGCGTGATCGGCCTGTAGGGAGGGACGGCCCTGCAAGTACTGTATGTATAAGGTATTTAGATGCTGAGTCAGGTATACCGTATTGATTGCAGTAAAACCATTAATTAGCTGACAACAGTCAAAATCTACCGAAGCCCCAGATAAATCAACACAAACAAAACTGGCTTCCTTGTCCTTTCATATTTTAAAGTTTCTTCAGCATTTACATATGATGTGAAATAGCTTTCTGTTTCCCATTGAAACATTTAGCTTACTAGGTGCTTTGATGATAGTTGACATCCCAGTCACACAAATCACATAATGACACATTGTTGTCACATTCGAGGGATTCCAATTACCATTTCAAAATGAGCAATGGCTGTTAAGGAGGAATGTATTAGTGAAATGGAAAAGGTCCTTTTGTGCTGAGATTTATACTGACGATTTGATTTGATATTTAAAAGGCTGAAAAATAACAAACAGGTGTTCACATTTTGAAGGCTCAGCTCACAAAAAGCACAAGTAGTTTTACATTTGTATAAGGACAAGTTTGCATTGTACTCTAATGCTTGGGTATGTAATGTTTTGCAAAACCAGGATTTTAATATCAGCAATAAGAACTTTGTTCCAATGAGGCGGCTTGCAAGAAGAGAAAACCACGCATTGATCAGTTTTTGCAGAACATTTCAAGAAAGAAAAAGGCGCAGCATTCTTAAGACAGACCTGACTGCAGCATTGTGCTTCAATTCTGTGTTAGCTCGTTTTGAATACATGTTGCATTTCGTAGGGGCAATTTGTCACTCTGCACAAATGTTCCTTGAGTGTGTCAGCTCTGATCCAAGCACAATAATGCGTACTGTGCCAAGAAGCTGGCAGAACATTACGCAGATCCAGAGAGCGGGCATCTATTTCTGCAAATCCTGCGAGTAAAGTGAGCAATGTTTTAGTGTCAGAGGGGGGGGCAGAGGGGGCCTCCTGCTCCGTGCAATTGCCCTCGCTTTCCTTCCTCGGCTGACATGCAGTATCACCTGTCAAAGTACTTAGATAATTGGATATGAGAGGGATAGCAGTCTCGCCACTATAACCAATGACACTGTCAGCAGTGTCATTGAGAACCAGCATCTTCTTGCACTATGAGCGCAGACTGAGGGAAGGGCTGGAGGAAATGTATTTTCGGCTGCCCGACTGAACAGGGAAGCGGATCACAAATCACCTGGCGCTAAGATTCTTTCACCTAGCCAGAGAGAGAGAGTGGCAGTAAATGTTTACAGTTGCATGTCATGTAAAAATGCTAAAAATATCTGCTCCTCCTGGAAGAATGACACAGTGTTCTCTTTCACTGAGCTCACAAAACAATAAACATCTAAGAATAAATGTTTCCAGATCCAAAACATTACTGTTATGACAAGAACGACAAAGCGTACAGGCTCATATGTGCCACGTATCTTTCTTGATGTTGCTAGTATATAAGTAAAATCATAAATATCATATGGAAGTAACATCCCCCACTATATCATCAATATTAGGGTGAAGTCAAGGTGAAGTCACAGTGCTGTTCCACCACTTGACAGGGGGAGGTCTTCATTAAATGGCACCTTAGTGTCATTTATGTAGATATTTTATTATTCCTATCTTATTATACAGTACAGTACATGCCCCAGCTTTCTTCTTCCCCTTTCCTTTATGTCCCACATTGTGCCCTTAGGAGATTTCGAGGAATGAACGCAATATATTTTAATTCTGTTCAAATTATTCCCTGTCCAACAGTTCACCTCACAGCTTGCCCTTATTAGCCAAGGCAAATGGAAACTTTGCTCTGAGCAGGGTGTATCCGAGTTGCCTCAAGTCATGAAACACAGTAATGGCCACAGTTTGTTTCTTAGAAAATCCACAGATCAGCCTCATTATGATCTGCACACCTTATTATAGCAGTGTTATTGTATCATTTTTCTCAAGTATCATATGGTCTTAAAATATATGAGTTTATGAAAAAACTCCTTATTCAGAACCTGCCCATCTGGAAGCAAAACCAGCAATACCCTAGGTGTTAATGAACACTGCTGTTTAATACCATTAATAGGCTCGGCTTCACATGAGTGACTGCATCTTTTAGCCTTCTCTCATCAGGCTACTGTTCCATAGCAAGAGCATGAGAGTGGTAGAAATTAAGCAGGATACAGGGAGATATTATTTATCAGGTAATGGAAGACATGCAGGCTGTCTGTCCGACTGATCCTCAAATGTTATGAGAATACAACATCTGAACCCTAATGACGCAGAAAACAAGCACACAAGGATGCTACTCACTTTGTTGGCTTTATGAGAGGACTGCTTCCTAAACGATATGACGGAAGGTCCTCTGTGATCGTTCCCTTTCGGAGAAGAAACTTTTCCGTGAGATCAAATCCTGTGAACAGATTTAGTGTCAATATATTGAAACTGTTGACATTTTTGACAAAATGTAATTGTGATCGTCCAGAACATACCTGTGATGTCCAGAGGACGATCTAAGACATCAGTGAACCTGTGCTCCTCTACGCTCAGAGGGGGGCATGAGCCATCTGAAGGAAAGCCACCAAGAAGTTGGTTGTGCCGGGAACAGATGTTCATTTATGTTTTGCACCAGTTTTGCACAGTTTTTATAGAAAAGGAGACAATCAATTGAATCATGAATTTATGTGGATGGTGCATTTTCTTTCATCTTCAGCAAAAATCTAATCAGAGCAGGAAATCAATTCAAAGTTTTTCCCATTCATCTTGAGTTTGAATTTATAAAGTGACCAACAGAGACAGGACTCTGAGATGTAATTTAGAGGCAAGATCCGCTTTAACGAAAATGTAATGGACGTACCTTCATGAATACTGACATTTCATTAACATTTTTACAAGAATAGTTTTGTTTCAAGCTCACACTCTCAATCTATTCTAAACATAAAGTACAACACAACTATCAGATGATGGCATTACAAAGGGTTGTAAGCCACTGTAAATAAATGGTGAACCAAAGATGTTGTAAAATGTTTTGTAAAACATTATAGAGAATTTGAAACATTATGCTTAGCTTAACAAAAGCATGGACATGTTACCCTCTCCATATGAATTTGTGAAGTTATTCAGTTTAATATATGATAAAATTAAACGCCAACAAAGCCTTTCAATCATAAAATGTCTGACCGTCTATTCATCTGCTACAGATTTGTATATTATAGTGATAAAAGGTGTCTGCTTTATGTTAATATAGGGACATTTAAGAGTACAATAACTGGTTACACAGTTGAAAGACACAAGTTTCCGGGCACTAAGTCGAGGAAAACAAAACACACATACCTGTTCGTTCACTCACTGCCATTCCAAAAGTGCAAGGAATTACATTTACAGTCCAAATCAAAGCAGTCCATCTTAACAAGCAACCCATGGCTCTGACACTAGAAAGCAGTCCCACCTGGAAACCTGGAGACAAACATAGACATTTGTATTTTACGTTTAAAAAAATAAAAAATAAATGTTGTGTTATTTATATTTGAACAATATCTAATATATAACTTCATAGCAGACATTAAAAAACAATTTGGCACCAGTTATTGTTATTATACACGTACCATTTGGCTCGGTTTAACTGACACTTGGACTTATTGGGATGGTCTGAAACAATCCGATGTGTATCTATTTTTTAACCAACCATACACTTTAATTCTCATTAAATGTCATTCATACATTCGCTAAATAAGATAGTGTTCGAAAATTGCACTATTATGAGAATAAGTTTTAACTGTAAATCATTTTTAATTATCTTAACAGCCCACGCTTATGCCCACTTGTAAGTCCCTAAAGCCTCTTTGTGTTTATGTAAAGCCACTCAATCTGGAGTCCTTCCTTCATTAGTTTTCATGAACACCTGCCATACAGTGATGAATGGTATATGAACTATACTGCAGCTAAATCATTATACACTAAGCAATGTTTATGTTTATGTTTGTAACTAGCAGCCAAGCTCCCTTTTGCTTTCCTTAGACGGTTTGTAATCCATTAGGCCTGTGTGTTGTTACCACAAATTAGCAGAGGAAGTCCGCTGATACTTAATTTCAGAATATAAATGGGGAGATTTGAATATGGAAGGTGTTAATCTAAATGCAATATATTGATGTTAAAAAGATAAAACAAGTGACTTTGATTCATTGTTTTTCTTCCTCTAACTTTATCTCATTAACTTCATTAATCTCACATGAACTAAGAATATATGAAAAGTTTGATTCATGATTGCTGGCTCCTCAAGTTTTCTTTTATCTGTCTTCTTTCCTAATGCCAAAGCCTTGATCTCAAGGACATCAATTCAAACACCATGACACAATTCCATCAGATTAATGATAAAAAAACCTAGAGGACATTATTCAACTTCTGAAATCCTCTTCCTGCTGCCTTGATATTATTCCAACAGGATTTTTCAAAGATGTTTTGCCTTGCATGGCCTCAGATCTACTTCATATAGTAAACAAATCTCTTCACTCAGGTTTTTTTCCACAGGCCCTGAAAACTGCAGTCATTAAACCGCTCTTAAAAAAGAATAATCTAGATGCTTCAGTAATGAACAATTACAGGCCCATATCAAACCTCCCATTTCTAGGTAAAATCATTGAAAAAGTTGTTTTTCAACAGTTGAGTAATTTCTTGCATTTAAATAACTGTTTTGATGTGTTCCAGTCAGGCTTTCGTCCAAACCACAGCACTGAGACTGCTCTTGTAAAGGTCTTTAATGACATCCACTTAAACACAGACAGTGGCAGAACTTCAGTGTTAGTATTATTAGATCTCAGTGCTGCGTTTGACACTGTTGACCACAGCATATTACTAGACCGACTGGAAAACTGGGTGGGACTTTCGGAAACAGTTCTAAATTGGTTTGAATCCTACTTAAAGGACAGAAACAACTTTGTTTCTATAGGTAAATACACATCTGAGTTGACAAATATGACATGTGGGGTTCCTCAAGGCTCCATCTTGGGGCCTCTTCTCTTTAACGTCTACATGCTACCACTGGCTCAGATAATGAAGAACAACAAAATAAGTTACCATAGCTATGCAGATGACACACAAATGTACGTAACAATTTCACCAGGAGACTATGCTCCAATTCAAACACTGAGTAAGTGCATTGAACAAATCAATGACTGGATGTGTCAGAACTTTCTCCAATTAAACAAAGATAAAACTGAGGTAATGGTTTTTGGAGCCAAGGCAGAATGTATAAAAGTTAGCGCTGAGCTTCAGTCTGCAATGTTCAAAACAACAGATAAAGCCAGAAATCTAGGTGTAGTCATGGACTCTGACCTGAGTTTCAACAGTCACATTAAAACAGTTACTAAATCAGCCTACTATCACCTACTATCACCTACTCACTTTTATCCATGTACTTTTTCTTTTAATGTTTAATTGCACTGTAACTTTTATCCATGTATTTTTTCTTTTAATGTTTATTTTATTAGCTTTTCTTTTTAATGACTGATTTTAAATGCCATTTTCTTAATCTCTTTCATTTTTTGTAAAGCACTTTGAATTGCCTTGTGTTGGAAAGTGCTATATAAATAAACTTGCCTTGCCTTGCCTTGCCTTGCCTTGCCTTGCCTTGCCTTGCCTAAAGAATATATCTAGGATTAAAAGACTAATGTCACAGCAGGATTTGGAAAAACTTGTCCATGCTTTTATCTTCAGTAGACTCGACTACTGCAATGGTGTCTTCATAGGTCTCACTAAAAAATCTATTAGAAAGCTGCAGCTGATTCAGAACGCTGCTGCTCGAGTCCTCACTAACACTAAGAAAGTGGATCACATCACTCCTGTTCTGAAGTCTTTACACTGGCTTCCTGTGTGTCAAAGAATAGATTTCAAAATACTGCTGCTGGTTTATAAAGCACTGAATGGTTTAGGCCCAAAATACATTTCTGACCTCCTGCTAAATTATGAACCATCCAGATCTCTCAGGTCTTCAGGGACTGGTCAGCTTTCTGTTCCCAGAGTCAGAACTAAACATGGTAAAGCAGCGTTCAGTTATTATGCTCCAAATATCTGGAACAAACTCCCAGAAACCTGCAGGTCCGCTGCAACTCTTACTACTTTTAAATCCAGGCTGAAGACTTTTCTTTTTGTCGCTGCTTTTAATTGAACTATTCATATCTTAGACTGCACTGTAACTTTTATCCATGTATTTTTTTCTTTTAATGTTTATTTTATTAGCTTTTCTTTTTAATGACTGATTTTAAATGCCATTTTCTTAATGTCTTTCATTTTTTGTAAAGCACTTTGAATTGCCTTGTGTTGAAAAGTGCTATATAAATAAACGTGCCTTGCCTTGCCTTGCCTTGATCTGTATTTCTGTAGTACTCTCTTAACACTTGTGTTTTGATCTGTAAGCTGACAGCAGTGTCTTGTTCAAGGACGTCACCAGCGAGAATACAAAACCTGGAAATCTTAAGTAGTTCTCTTAAGCCATTTGACAGAGGTGCCAAACCAAATCTTCAGCATTACTTGTGCGATTTCAAAGAAGGCAATTATTATTCTTTAGGGCTAAGTCATCCTGGAGAGCAGGAGTCAATCAATCAATGTTTATTTATATAGCCCAATATCACAAATGTCACATTTGTCTCAGTGGTCTTCACAGGAGTGTGGTCAAAAGGATAGTCAATCAATTTCAGCTCAAACAAAACGCTTTCAAAAACTTCAGAATTGATTTGCCTGCCAACATTAGTGCACTGGCAAAGTGTCGATTATAGAACACATAAGAAAAACATTTATTTCAGGCACTAGACTTTTAGGGACCACAAAAAGATGGAAAAAACTCAACAGAAACCGGTTTACACATCATTAAAGCGTGATTAAAATCTATTTGTTTTTGTGTTTATTCTATTGAAACAACAGAAAGGGGCACATCTGTGTGTCAATCCAACAGAAGATAAAGGGGAAAATCATTAATTTAACGACTATCATTATTATTTCAGTACTTGGAAAGTAGTTTTGTGACATCACAACTTTAATTTTGTTGCAGAGACTAATCCTTCCTTCCTGATGCACATTTATATATTCCCACCAGGGAAAAAACAAATGAAGACAGAGCAGAGGACTGCACTTGACCTCCACAGACCAGAAAACAGCCACAACACATTCAGGGAATTTATATGCAGTGTCACAAAGTGTCCCCAAAACCTTTTATGATACTCCTCTTTTTTAACTGCGTCTATCATAAATCTTGTCTGAATGATTCATTCCCAATCCTGCTCCAGGCACTTGTTCCTTCCACTGGATCATAAAGTTTTGCATGTAGGCCCATGGCGCATGGAGATGAAGTGACTTTGCGTTTCACAACTACAACCATGCATGGGCCATAGACAAGCAACACTACAGAGGTATCACATTCATTTTCTGTGTGAAGGAGTAATGCGATTCCAGTTATTTGTCCAAATACAATCAATGCACACAGCTCATCTGCAGTCAATTCATATTTTTTGTAAGAAATTATGTTTTATTTAAGACACATGTCGTTTTAAATCATGCAGTTTAGTGTACAGCACCATCTGCATGGATTTCAATCTTAAATTGAGAGTGTATTTAGGCTACTATTAAACTAACAGTTTAAGTTAAGGTGGAAAGGGACGTTACTATAAGCTTCACTCCATTATTCATAAAATGTGTCACTTTAGTATTATTCAAAGAAGCGTGTTTCACTGCGCGACCGCTGATTGGCTGCTTGTTTTTTTTTAATACTTTAATAATTACGCTATGATGGATTTTCTTTTAGTGTCCGGACAATTTTGCACTCTGCTGTTAACAAGTCATACAATACGGTACGTGCTTACTGCTGCCGAGCGTGCATACATCTGAATAACCTGTTCATAAGGGGGTGGTCCCGGTCAACACACAAGTTAAAAAACCATGCGGAGAAAAAAAAACACTTTAATACGGAGCGACAAAGATGCGAAATGAATCCGTTATAAAAAGGTTTTCACGCTGATATTTAAGCCGTTTTTTTTTTTAATGTACTGTGAAATAAACCTACTTACAGTTGGTGCGAAAGTTTCCTCTAAGGCAGAAAAAAAGAAAAAGGAGCGAAAAGAGTATAATCCATGTGTGATAGCGATCAGTGTGATTCCGGATTCCAGGACTTGGAAATAAAAGTCACAGTGGGATCGCCAGCTAGATCGCAGTCCTTATTAGTTGCACCGAGTGGCCCTCCCACTCTGTCATTATTACTGAGACGCACTGACAGAGACTTCAGCAAACAAGAGGCACGCACTGAAAGCTTTCATATTAAGAGCGAGTGCATGCCCAGCGGGGGTTCAAACTCTTCTCTAACTCAGCCAGGTGCGGGAATTAAACACCGTTTGATGTATTGTCTTCTTAGTAAATGTACTGAATAGAGGTCTAACTCTAAACGATTTGCTAACCTTTTAAGGTGGCTTCTTTAAGTAAAGTAAATATAAGAACAACACAAAAAGTCTTAGGGTTCATTGATCATTAGAAAAAAAATTGATGATTCATTATATAATAGAATATCGGAATCAGAATACTTTATTTATGAGGGGAAATGTGGTATTGTGACAGATGAGAAAGATATTAAAAGATACATAATAAAAAAATATATAATACAGAAATGTATGTGACCTAAAATACGTTAATGTAAGAAAGTTCAATAATAAAATAGAATAAAAGCTGTTTATATGAACACAGGAGGATTAATACTTTATATTATTTATATTGTGCTCATTGTTGAAAAAAACAACATTATTCTATGGATGTTCCAACATATTATAGTGACAGCTCTCAGCTCTAAAGGCAGGCCTAGCGCTACAGCAACATATACTATTTTAGCACCATGTCACATTACGTCTATGTGTGCAACAGCTTTAACTTCCACATTACATCAACATGCAGTCTTATCAGTAGTATCTACACGCTGACCACAACCCACTAAGGGTCTCCTCATGTTGAACATGAGTCTATACTGTATGCCTCGTCCATACTGTATTACAATGTTTTTCTAACTAAATGAAGGCTAAAAGCACAGGTACTTTGTCCCCTGACGTTTTTGTTGAAACAGCACACCGACAGAAACAGGTGTTTGGGCTCTACACACATAACTGTTTAGACAGATGATTTCAATGCACCCTCCCCTTCACCACGGGGACACACACAGACATACTTTTCCGTGGTGTGATGAAACAAACAGAAAAAATGGTATGAATAACAACTACAGTGAAGCAGATGGCAATATTTCTTTCTTGAACATTATACAAACATAAGCACTGAATTATTGTTTTGGTCTTTGTACTTTTTGTTTTTTGTTTTTCGTGCAAGGACTGAAAAACTTGAATCGTTGGCAGCTTATTAATTGCAGTCTTCCTCCCAATTAACAAAGCGCGTTATTTACTGGGTTTTTTCTGTAAATGGAATCATTATTATATGTTTATATTAAAACTTTGCATGAAGGGGTGGGAGTATTTCCATAAAAATACTATAAAACAGCCATTTTGTGCAAATTGACTCTTGTCTTTTTAATTAGAATGCTACCACTGTGACATAAACTCAACACTAGCTGATGTATTTATTTTTACCCTGTGCCAGGATCTATAATCAGCCCCTGTGTTCTCTGGACTGGTGGATTCATGCCTTCAGTATTGGTCTGTGTTTCAACAGCAGTTCATTAGAGCCTTTTCTTCACAAACAATGGATTGATAATATGGTTGGGCACAAGCATTTAGAGGGACAGTTTCTCCATTCAACTCAAAAGGACGCCCTTTCCATCTGCAATCACATTCTTTGACATTAAATAATTTCATTAACCTAAAATGCATGGTGGTAATACAAGCTTCTCTTCAACATAGCAACTGAAACAGTGGAACTTTTTTTTGCACACACAATACCTGAAATAAAAATGGTTAACTGTGAGATTTGTGGATTGCTACCTCTGAAAAACTAATAATTTACATGTTTCCATTAAATACATATTTCTTTACCTCTATTAAATTACAGTGACAGCAGAAATCTTGGTGGGGGTTAACTCTAAAACCTTTGCAAATAAAACCAAATAACTGAATGTGCTTTAGGTGAACTGACCCTTTAAAGTGGACCTATCTGAAAAATATATTGTAGGGCCATACCTACAGTATATAAAACATGTCTGTGAAGGTTTTTTTTCAAAATACCAAACAGATCACCCATTGTAGCCATGCCTCATATTGCTCAAACCCCTCTTTTGCAGCCCTGTTGGAGAAACGCAGATTTTGGGTCCTTAGCTTGAAAAAGATAAATAAAAGGAGGCGGCGCTAATGCCTGATCAGAATTCTACCGGAGATAAAGTTAAATTCGGTTGTGATAAAACGCCATCCTGTTTAAAACACGTCAAGGATTATTTCTGAAATAGTATGGAGCTCAAATGCTTTTTCTCTTGCAGGTTTATCACAAGGTGAGTTCTTTTTTTATTTCCTGCTTTTTAAACACATGTGCTCTCCAGTACAGGTAAGCTCTGAGTGTTAGTGAGGCTTGCTAATGTAAACAATGACGTCCAAAACACGTCAGGCATTGTTTCTGATAGCAACTTTCTGTGGGTCAGCCGACGTCACAACGGATGGACACGTCAGTTCGGATGGAAATCTGTATCCGCTCATTGTACACCCGTTTTAAAATATTTGGGTACGGAGGAAAAGAGAGAGGGTTTTATTTTCTGACGGTGCGTGAGTTCCCCGACGCACCGGGGACACATATTTATGTATAAAAGACATCACAAAGTGCATTTTGCATGATAGGTCCCCTTTAAGGAAAGGGCAAGTATAGAGCTTTGGTGAAATAATGAAAATAGTATGGTGCCTTGATGGCCCAGCAGTCTACATTTTGTATCAACTTCACCTGTGCCCTTAAAACAGTTAGTCAGTGGGCGTTCAAGGTAGGTGTTTTTAATGTGTGCAACCATAAGAAAAAATCCTGTCTTCTCGTACTTAATGTGTTAATGTGAATTTAAACAATATCATTTTAAAAAGTACAATAATTTAAAAATACTTATACTGACAGAACATCTTTCTTCAATCACAAACAAAGTGGTATTTGGGAACTACATTATCTACTGCCCAACATCACAGTCAGTGCATCACCTAAACGTATGTGCATTTGCTGTCAACAGGAGTGACATCTTATAAACGCCAAGGTCCCAAAAGCTGTCAGGAGGCTCTAAAATACCCTGGAGATGATAGTTGTCACGAAATATTCAGTCAAAGTATTCATACAAGAATGAACATAACTGAATAAAAAAGTCAAACTCAATATAGTGGGATGTAGAAGTTTTCCAATAAATATTCCATGAATAATACATTGTCAATTGATATTGAAGGAGTTCATTAGTTGTTATTCACATAGTGTCTGGATCCCTGCCTGTAGTTCATCGCAGGCCCGGCCAGACTCTACAAACCTTTCATTTTGGAGAATGAGATCATAAAAATGTTTTGAATAAAGTCCAACATATTCACGTTTGTAATTTGGAATGATGTCCTGTACTCAGAGTGTTGTTACAAGCCATGCTGTTGCCTGGCTGCTTCTCTCTGGGCAAATACAGAGTGTGTTGGTGTTAACCTGTATGAAAGAGGGTGAAATTATATTATTTGTTATAGCTTGAATTTCAGGGGTTGATGCCCTGCTTGTGCTATCCTTAAACTCCTCACTAAATCACATGCTGTCAAAAGTTTTCACAGCATTTATTTGGCAGTTCCAAAGTAAACACATCAGTTATCTGATAGGGATTATCCAGGGCAGCAGATTGTTGTCAAAAAGAGACATTGCTGTTGTTGTTCTTTTTTCCTTATTGTCTTCAAATTATATTACATGACATGATCTCCACTCTAAGACAGACATTTCAGCAGTGTCCCAAGATATCTTTGTATTTTATGTCATAATTGATTTTAGAGTTGTTGGGCTAAATTGGCAACTGTAGGCCATTACTACTGTATGACCTTTAAGACTGATAAATGGACATTTTTCATTACACTTTCTAATTTGATACAAATAAATATTGCAAGCAACATATCAACCATTTACTTGTGAGGATATGAAGTTTTAGTTTCTAAGCGGCTGCAGAAATATAACTAAACCCCCTGTCAGAGATTAGAAATGCATGTAACTCTTTAAAATAACTTGATCGTGCCATTTCAGCTTTAATCATTCAGTAAAATATAGAATTATAAGGCAGACAGAGTGGTTTGACAAGCAAAATATATATTGGTAATGCTGTTTCTGATCCCAAGACATTACATTTACATGTTTGGCGCCCCTCTGCCGTAACTCGGAAAAATCCTCTGACACATAATGCTAGAAATGGCCCTTTAAGAGTTTTTTCACTCCATGATTTTCTGTCCACTTAAATCTCATGTTTTATTCAGCCAAAACAAAGTGATTGTATAACATATGGTTAGCTGCAGGTTGTGCCCTCTATTGATGCTTCCCATTTGAGAGTTTTGCATCATGATATTATTTAAATTATTTGTAAAATACCCCACTTACCCTTTGACAACAACTGCCAGTGATTTGAAGACATTTGAAGGGTTCCCTGAAGATTGTTTTATCAAGCTGGATTGAGAAACGATACATGTCATTAATGCAAACTGCAAACATGTGAAGATGGCAGATACAAGTGATAACTGGCTCACAGTGTACAATACAAATCAATCAATAGCTTTATGTTTAATGTGAACAAATCAAAAACAATTGCATGTTCCATGGACAAAATAGAAGCTACACGATAATGATATTGATGATGATTTGTCACACAAGATAAGCAAGGAAGCCAGCCGGCTAATTTACTTGTTGTGAGAAAGAGTCACAGTTGAAAATATGTTGTAAAAATCCCTCTTATATTTTAATCTTGCCTGTTCAATAGACAGAAAGCGTGTGATATTCAAAATGCAGAGGACTTACAGCCTTTCTTGACTATTAGCTAAATTAGCAAGAAGCTATGGGTTAGCTAACACTAGCTGGCCGGTTACTATATTGTAAACTAAACAAAATGAAAATCTACCACAGCCATATAGTTGAACCTAAATATATGATTCACGTCCTGCTAGCCAAATAGCCTACCTGTTAAAATCAAGCCCCCAGGAAGTGCGCCGGACTCTGATGAAAATATTCGTTGTG